TCCTGGGACCTAAATGTCCAGAAATCACCCCAACAAAGGATAGATGTATATAACTAAGCAGTGTATCCTTTAATATGGTCGAACGGTCATATTTGTCATCATCAATTTAACTTGAACAGCATGGGTAGCATTGCCAACGAGTTCAAGCCAATTGTTCTCTGGCAAATGATTATTCAAATGAGCTTTGAATTTGCATCAGCAGCAGATTAAGACTAAACTGCTCAATCATTTGGCTAATTGAATCCACTCGAGAGATAATCCATCAACTAATCACTCAAATGAAGCACACATTTAGGAACATTTGATCATCTTAATAACGTATGGATTTGGGAATTTCACTCATTTATATGCTAAGATTATTGCCTGCATGTCATATCAGAACAAAGCATTTGACAACAGTTTTAAAAATGCTGTCATCTTTCAAAATATTGGTCTCTTTTATAGAGATGTGTATTTATATAGAGGCTTGCTATTTAAGTAATACACCTAAAATGTCAATCTGTCTTGCAGGCATGTAGCAAGTTCTATCCGGTGTAGATTCACTCACTATAGTGACCGTTTCTTTAACCAAGCTTATTCATTCAGACAAAATATATCAATATGTTATCACTGCTATAAAAAAAAATTGCATATCTTACAAATATTAGAAATATAGAAATTTTTATTAACTCGTTCTAAATTTAAAAGTGTAGAATATTAACACTATTCTTATCTTGAAATGTTGCTCATATCTTGATTGTTATAGTGGTTATTATAGGGTGGTTATTATAGACAACATTTCGACCAAGTACCATCTGGCTATCATCAGATGTCCAATGTTTTGGCTGTTCATGGGATATCTGTTGTGTTATCTTCCTGTGATGTCAGTTATTGTTTGTTCCTGCTGAATCAGTGTTTCCTGGAATTGAACTCATGACAACTAGATGACAGTAACACATGCCTAACCAACTGCTAAGCCACCATTCCAAAGAACATCATTGGTGTATTTATGGAGCCTTTATATTCAAAGTAAGATGGTTTCAAAATTTGGTTATCATTGTTGGTTTGCGTTACTTTTTTGAAATAAGGAACTGTCAAATTATTTTGAATTATTGTTGCCATCTTTATTATAGAGGTTGTTATCTAGGCTACTTGGCTGAAACATTGTTTCTATAATAAAACCTATAATAATCAACATTAGAACAGTCTGAAATAATAAAAGTATATTATCAATTATTCATCTCAAAATGAAAAACAGAACAGAAAGTGGAATATTTGCAGTCAAACATTCCCAAAACTGCAATATTAATCCAACATCATACCTTAATTGGTATGAAATGTTTGCAAATCACTGGATGCAATTATCATGAATTCCATCAACTAAGCAAACTCCTCTATGTTCGGCAATGAATGAACATTAAAATGGACTTACATTAACAAAAGAAAATTCTGTCTGAATTTCTGGGATAAGGAACTACCATTATTTACACTATTTATAATTGGACTATTGTCCTCATCTTTGTTGTTGTTGCGGTAATAACAACAAAAGATGAGGACAATAGTCCGAATATAAAAAATGTAAATAATTAATTACTTGAAAATGCATTTTTTTTTACCTAAATGTTAAGCCTCTGGCAACAGCCACAGGTTTTCTGCTTGAATTTTTTAGAAACCTGATGCCCTTTCTGATGCCAATTTTTAAGTTAGAAATAAAAATAAAAGACATCCTTAGTAATGGCTAAAATAGCTGGAAGTGCTCAGATATACAAAACATTTGGACAATTTTGCACACACATTATGTCCAAAAAAGAAATCATTTAAATGAACACAAGAAAAATTTAATAAAAAGTTTAATCGTGATACCTTGTCAGTTGTCTTTGATGAAACTTGTATAAAGCTGACTTTAACGGCATTTTAACCAAGGTGATTGCTTACAAGAAACTGTGTGTGTGTGTGTGTGTGTGTGTGTGTACTAATTCACAAAAAGAACAACAAAGATCTTATGAAATGTTTCTGGATTCACCTTATCTATTATTCCAACTCAAATAATACTATAAGTCTCTCAATGGGGAAGTGAAACTGATTTAATATCACCTAATCAGAGACTAGACATTTTAAATAACAAACTAAGAAAAAAAAAAATCACTTAACACCCTTAATTTATAAAGGTTATTTTTCTATTTCAAACCTATAAAAAAAAGCAAAAAAAAAAAAAAAAAAAGCCAATTATTTAATCACTTGATCTGCTTTGATGAGAAAATGACATGAAATATTTAAAGCATATAAGGTGAAATTTAAGAAAACCAGTTGGATATTTAAAGTTTTTTTTTTTTTCATCAATTTTTGACTGTGTATGAGCGTTTTCAAAGCAACTGGAAAAATTGTTCCAATGGCAACTCTTAAAAATACTAATTAAAAAAAAATATTTAACAGTAAATAAAATTTATAAGTATATCTGTGGACACATCAATGAGGAAATAAATGGTGATTTGATATAGGAGAATAAAATGAATAAGTTATGGTGAGAAAAATATACCTTATGAATCCATTTATTCTACTCCAGCTATGGGTTAATTAGTAAGACTTGTATCACTAAGTCATAATCCCCCCCAAATTCTTACAATCTAAAAATATTTCCTAGCTTTAAGTAACCTACAACAATTAGTAAGGAAGAAAAAAAAAATCTGGATATACCCAGATTGTTGTTGTTTTTTTTTTTGTTTTTTGTTTTTTTTCCTAATCATCATACCACCTACACTTGGTATTCCCAAGCAGTCACCCATCTTGATACTGATCAAGATTGACATCGTTTAACCAGTGTTTCAACATGATATGGCTGTAAGCCCTCCTATACATCCAATAGAAAATACTTATATTTCAAAATATAATTTATGATGATTATACTTAGGTGTTAAGGAAAATATAAAATTTAATTAAGATTAATAATTATTAAAATGTCTTTTAGAAAAGAAGTAAAAATGTCCTAAAACTATCTGTAAATTTTAATTGTCTTCTCAGGAAAGAGCTTCCAAGAGACCAAAATCCTTTGCTGTCACCTTTCACAATTCATTCTTTGCTATTTTGTTATAATTGCCACTAGAATTAGACCCATGTTACTATAAATCTGGAAAATGGATTGGTTCAAATATAGTGAAGAGAAATAAAAAAAAAAAAAATTAAAAAAAAATTTGCTAAAGACAATTTGCACCAGTTATTTTAATTAATATTCTCAAACATGTTAACAAGAATATTAGACTCAATATCTTATTAGTTACTCATAATGAATCAGAATTTCAAACAAATAAATATCACTTCATAATAAACTTGCATTCAAGTTCATTAATATTAGAATCGTTTCTATAATAATAGATGCATGCTATCAAATTTCTATAATAATTTATACATGCTACAATGAATAAAACATGGCATATTTTGTTTAGTCATTATTTTGTGGAGGCTTTCAAAGGTATAGCTTAAAATTTATTTATCCAATTATATTAAAAAAGCACTAATACTGGAAAGTTATTACAACAATAAAAAAACTGGTCCCTGATTTAATGTCCAGTAGAATTTTATCCAAGTTTTAGAGTGAGTGGCCATTGTTAAATGTAAATGAAATGGCAGAACTGTCCAACCAAACAGAATTGACAAAGTTTGCAATAAGAAATAACAAAGAAAAGAAAAGAACAGGACCAAAAATAATATAAAGCATAGCAACAGTAACTAAGAATTGGGGTTGACACACAAATGAACATAGCATTCTGACTTCAAGACAAGACAGACTTGGACCGAGTCAGATGAAACAGAGAACTGGCCTGTTTTATTGGCTAAGAAGAAATCCAAGCATGCATTTGTGTGCTTCTGCTGATAAATTGGGAAGAGAAAGTATCTTGCAGTCATCCTTATAGAGATTGAAATTAAGTGTTTGTATATATTTTCCACTTGTACACTGCTCTTTTAGAGTCAGTCTTTTCACCTACCAATTATTTAAACTTCTATTTTGATGTCATCACCTTCGCACTGGCAGCATTAAATATTAGAAGAATAAAATATATAAATATACAAGTACTCTTAGCATAAATATTAAGATAAATGCAATTATCAGTTCCCACTTTGTTATGACATTCTTGTCATTAACAGCTAGTCCCCACAATTCTTTTGCTAAGATTGGGTCATGTTGTCATCTTGATGGTCTTCCTCAAGATTCCTTTGAGCATGGTGATGGCTGTAGAGTCCAGATATTTTCCCAGTTTTTCAGTTTCTTTCAAAACAAAGTCAAACAGTTTTCATGATTCCTACCCAGTCTTATATGAATTCTTCATGCTAATGCAATATAATAAGTCTAAGAAAAGGTTAAATAAGACAAAATCTCTTCAGCACACAAAAGTTAATGTTCTTCTTGACAAGTGTTTATATCCCTTGTTGGCATCAAATAATGAAGAGAGAGCGACAAATAGAAGAAAACCTATTGTTTGTTTGGCTGCAAGCAATTGTCACTTAGGTTCAAGGAACATGATAGCGTAAAGCATCAGTCACTTAAACTATGACTTGCATTTGTCCATTTGAAATATGACAAATTTACTTCAACGTGCAGGTCAACTGACCTCCCCTCCACACTTAATCCAAAGTGCTGGCTGATCTGATAAAGCAGTTGAATTTAAAATTCTTAGGTTCAAGTCCATGCAGAGATCCCTATTTTTGCTGTCAGATTTGTACTAATATTTGCATGAGATATATATATTATTTAAAAAGAAATAAAAATAATGTTTTAAAACTATACAAAAGTGTGTGTGTTTTGTGTATGTGTGCATATTTCAGAACATTATGTTACTAAGATAACAATGGGAGCTGGAGATGATTCATTCAGCAAATATGTGGATTGTTTCTTAATCCAATGGCTTGTGACTTGAATATGTTGTTCTATACTAGATAAAGTCTTACACATCTCACAAGCAGATGTGGTGTATACTTTTAAAATGAGTTGCACACAAAATGAAGTAAAGTTATAGACTGGATGAAGCCTAATGAAAAAAAGAAATGATTAAGATGGAGAGAGAGAGGAAAAAAGTAGGAGTGCAAAAGAGAGAGGATGGAGAGAGAAAAGGAAGGAGGGAGGAAGAAAAGAAAGAGTAGGAAAAGGAGGGAGGAAGAAAAGAAAGAGTAGGAAAAGGAGGGAGGAAGAAAGAAAAGAGTAGGAAAAGGAGGGAGGAAGAAAAGAAAAGAGTAGGAAAAGGAGGGAGGAAGAAAAGAAAGAGGAGGAAAAGGAGGGAGGAAGAAAAGAAAAGAGTAGGAAAAGGAGGGAGGAAGAAAAGAAAGAGTAGGAAAAGGAGGGAGGAAGAAAAGAAAGAGTAGGGAAAAGGAGGGAGGAAGAAAAAGAAAAGAGTAGGAAAAGGAGGGAGGAAGAAAAGAAAGAGTAGGAAAAGGAGGGAGGAAGAAAAGAAAGAGTAGGAAAAGGAGGGAGGAAGAAAAGAAAGAGTAGGAAAAGGAGGGAGGAAGAAAAGAAAGAGTAGGAAAAGGAGGGAGGAAGAAAAGAAAGAGTAGGAAAAGGAGGGAGGAAGAAAAAAAAAAGAGTAGGAAAAAGGAGGGAGGAAGAAAAAAAGAGTAGGAAAAGGAGGAGGAAGGAAAAAAAGAGTAGGAAGAAAAAGGAGGAGGAAGAAAAAGAGTAGGAAAAGGAGGAGGAAGAAAAAGAGTAGGAAAAGGAGGAGGAAGAAAAAAAAAGAGTAGGGAAAAGGAGAGAGGAAGAAAAGAAAAAAAGAGTAGGAAAAGGAGGGAGGAAGAAAAGAAAGAGTAGGAAAAGGAGGGAGGAAGAAAAGAAAGAGTGGGAAAAGGAGGGAGGAAGAAAAGAGAGTGTGAAAAGGAAGGGTGGAAGAAAAGAAAGAGAGTGTGAAAAGGAAGGGTGGAAGAAAAGAGAAAGGGAGTAGTGCAAGAAAGGTTAAAATGTGAACTCTTTCATTGGAAGTAGAGGTTCAGTCATTATGAACTTTGATTTATTTATGAAGATAATATAAATGAAGTGTTTCATCAGGGAACAAGTGTTGTTGTAAATTAGGAGACATTGGCCCGGTGTGGTGGTGGTGGTGGGGGGGGTGCAAGGAAGGTGTGGCCAGTCGCCTTCAATGCTGACTAAATGGTTGCCAGAAGGAGATTTAATGCTGGTGCCGCTTGTGTGTACAAGTTGGAAAGATTGAAGAAGGCTGATGGGTAGGCACCATATCAATTACAAACCAAGCATGGAAGATTTCTAATTCCTATAGAGTGTGGCCAGAATATATTACAACACTGGACAATAACTTTAGAGGTAGAAACGGGGTGGAGGTGCGGGGTTGCTTTGTTGGATGTGAAAAAAGAAATGAAGATGTAAAAAGTGGAAAGCATAAAGATATACAGAAAGATGTGAGGAAACAGAAAAGAGTGGGAGGGGGAATGTAAGAGGAGAAATACAAGAGGAGGAGGCAAAAGAAAGATGTGAAGAGGGGAGGTAAAGTGCAGAAAAGAAAAAGGACAGAATGTGCGAGAAAAAGACAATGGTGTAAAAAGGGATGGAGAATGGGAGAAAAGAAAGAGAGAGAGAAATGCAGCAAAGATTATCCCACACATCTACACCTCTTAGAAAACACTAGATAATTTCATAAGCCTAAAAATACTGGCAAAATAAGAATTGGAGCTCATTTCTAATCATTATCGAATACAGCGATTCTTTAGAAAAAAATAATATTGAACTTGATTAAGGTTTTTTTTTTCTTTCTTTACATCACTACAGATAAAAGCATGACACAGACATGTGCACAAAGTGAGTCCAGAAAGTAGCCCCAACCTATTTACTATGAATGAAAAAATAGATGACCATTTGAAATGGCCACTTAATACTGCCCTTACAACCTCACACTTTTATCCCAACATCCTTTCTACTTTTTAAATTTCTCATACAAGTTCACCTTCAGCTATCTTGTCATGTCCTCAAAGTCCATGACATTTGAAATGATTTTTTATTTTGAAAAAAGCCCGAGTTGCAGGCATCCATGTCTGGATTATAATGGAGACGAGCAAACCTGAATGATGTAAGGTTTTGCCAAAATATCCTACATAAGATGCAAAGAATCTACTCATTCTGGCCTTGGGACTACTACAATGATCACACTAAACAAGCACAATCAATGGTGTCTCATTAGTGCGTGAGTAACCCCACAGGAGAGTGTATGTTCACAAAGTTTCCCTCTGACTGGCATAATCAAGTTACATCAAAACCATGCAACTGCTTCTCAACCTATTCAATAGAGTTGCCTTCCTCTGTATGAGGAAGGAGAAATTTATGTACACCTCATAAAATTACTTCAAAGATAAACAGATTGAAAATAAAAATAAAAGTAAACATTTCCAGAAAATTCATTATGGTTGAGAAGTGAATCCAAATCTGTTTTCTAAAATGAATGGAAATATATTTTGAAATTTTACAATAAGATGTGAATAAAAAAAAAAACAAACATTAAAAACAAAAACAAACAAGTGCCTTTATCAAAGTGGGATGAAAGTAAAACCTGATAACCACCCAAGTGGAATGCATTTACTTCTCATTTTTTGCCAAATGAGCAGTCAAGTCACCAACATAGAAACATTATGGCTGACCTCTCCAACCCCGCACCACAAAAAAATAAAATAAATAAAACACAGCACAATATTTTGGACTCGGGATATGTTTTTAAAAAAACCCAAAAAACTCATGATTCATACAAACATGAATGCAATAAACCTGATTCTTAAGCATAATTGAATTAAGAGATTGTCATTAAACAGTCTCATGAAAATAAATAAAATTTCCAATGAACCCAGAAAAGGATTAGTCTTTCATCATGACCAAGTATACTGATAAAACTCAATAATTTATACATCAAACAGAATGGAAATATTTTCATGATTATCAAATCAACCTGGCAAAAATCTAGAGGATAAAACAAAACAAAACAAAACAAAAAAAACCTGAGAAACCAAGATTAACATAGGTAACCAATGCTTGAAGGTTGCTCCAATTAAACAGTGGGTGGTTTGTGTTGTTCTAAACAGACATCCCCCCTCCCCACTATAAAAAAATAAAAAAACAAAAAAAAAAAACAAAGGAAGATGAAAACAGATCTGAAATTGGGGAGATTGTTCTTTTTTGTGTTTTGTCCCACTTTGAAACATTAAGCACACTTGCCTAGGATGGTCTATTCAATTTCAAGTGGCTAATGAGTATGATGTCACACAAGAGTTAAGAAATATTGATAGACCAAGTAAATCAAATGACAAGGTAAGCAGTTAAGTATAGTGTTAACAAAGGTTGACATTATCTATTAAAAGCCTGTGACAAACACCAGAAGAGAATGAGAGAAACAACACAGAGAAGGAAAGCAAGTCACTTTTCAGGACAAATAAAAAGTTAAGAAAAATAAATACAAAGAAATTTACAGAGCTTATGATACTTTCCATATTTCTGTTCTTAATGATAAAAATCTTGCAAAGATTACATTTGACAGACATTTTGAAATATTTAACATGTATATTTTCGATGGATTTAAAATTGGATAAATCTGCTCGGCTACCTATGAATTTCACTCCCAGCAAGGAAAGAAAGCCACTAAAAGTAATGGGTTACTGAGTGTGAGAAAATATGAGAAAAAGTTAACATTATTAAGGGGGAGAACAATAGAAGAACAAGAATTAAGATAATGATTGACATTACATTTAAATTTTTGAAAACCAAAGTTGATTTACAAGCAAGAAACTAAAAGAGAGTTTCACATGGAAGCAGTGTGATAGAAGAAACTGTTAGCATAGAACTTACGGTACATCTAGCCATTTCAAATGTGAAATGAGGAGACATTATTGACAATATAGTACTGTGTTTAAATTCATAAAGTCTAGGTATCATATTTAAAATCTTGACAGAGCAATTACCATGAAAATATTTATAGAAAAAGTACAAAGAAGTTATGTTACACTAGTGAGAAAGTGATTGAAGCTGAGATGCCAGGTCAGGACTGATAACATTGCAGATTCTTCTTTGTATTTTATCTAAAATCTTCAAATATATAACAGAAGGTTCAGACCAGATGATAGTTTTAAACTTGGAGATATACTGATTTGAAGTGACAGAATTTGGCAAAATAAAACTTGGTCCAATTTGAAAAATACAAAACCAATTTTCTTTGCTTTCCCCCATTGCTTATTGACTCCTCAGATCCATTTTATTGGTTTGTTTTCTCAGTTCCGGAAAATTTTCATTATGATTTAGACCAGTTACACACCATGCATAATATATGCCAGATTGGATGGAAGATAAAACAGTTCCCCACTAGTTATCTTTAATATGACATTATTCTACTTACAAATACAGCTTGTCTACAGTAGCTAAGTAAACATTAGTCTTTCAGTTTTTGTGTGTGTGTGTGGTGGAGAGGGGGAGTAAAGATGAAATTCCAGAGTAGGACATTGATTCCGAAACAGATGTATTCAACACAAGCCCCTTCACTGAACAACATGTAAGTTAAAGAAAGGATACTTTAACAAAGGAGAGAATTATAATATTAGGAATATTCTTCTCATTTTCAAACGGGGAACCCACCCCCCATAGGAAATGCAATTTATAAATATCTTTAATGTTTTTGAATATTTTCTGGCTTTTTATTTCTTGCAGTATTTTATCAAATGCTGTCCCTACCTATAAAAGCACACTGCCAATTTTGACTCACCTGCCGCAAAAAAAAAAAAAAATAAATTAAAGAGAGAAAAAAAGAAAGAGGCAAATAAGTGTGTGTGTGTGTAGTGTATGTATATATATATATATATATATATATATATATATATATATATATATATATTATAAATTCCACAAAAAAGTAAAAAGAATAGAGAGAAAGAAAGAGGCAAATCAGAGAGTGTGAGTGTGTGTGTGTGTGTGTATATATATATATATATATATATATATATATCTCCCCACCAAAATGTTAAATTTAACTGACAATGCCTGTATGTTTAATTTATTAATCTATTTTTACAATTATCAAATAAGATATGAAAATTGTCCAAAGTTCATGTTTTTTCTGTTTTTCTTTAAGCACTTCTGTCTCAGTCATTTTTAAGAACTGGATGTTGTCAGTTGTAGACAAGATTTTGTTGGCTACAACCTAGAATTTTTTGGTAGTCTGGGATTGAAATTAATCCAAATTCACAGAATTAGACTGGAAAAGAATGAGTTAAATATTTATATCTATTATTTTGAATGCATATATTTTATATACTTCAAGATATAACAAGATAAACAATTTTGATTCCAATGTACAACAGTTTATTTGAAAATTGGAAATATGTAATATCATAAATTAAACAAAAGGACCTTTTGTCAGCTGAATTTAATAAAACTTATTTGGATGAATTCATGTTGTGAATATGTTTGTGTGTCGATTGAAAGTAAACTTTAATATTAAGTTGAGTGCTGTACCTTTTATGAAATGGTAGGGACTACCATTTGCTTAGTGTTAATCCTAATTAAAAAGGAAGATTTTGTAAAATGATAGTGCCGGTAGATTGGTTTATATAAAGTGCAAGCAAATCAAAGAATGTGTGTATAGAGTTGGCATTTTGGCAGAAATAGTTGTAACCAGTGTCAAAAGATGGTGCTCAAGCCCAGGTAAAAGGCTAGGATCTTGATCATTTTTTTTTGTTTTTGTTTGTGTGATAGCAACTGTTTTGGACATGTTCTAAGCAAAACTGCGCATGGTCAATATTATTCGTGTGTAAAGTGAAAATTCAATCAGCCTGGATTCAATGTCAAGAAACAAATAAAAAAAGAGGATTCAATTGAAATTATGATCAACAAATGGCAAAAGTAATTTTTCATTTTGCTTTAAAAATAAACCACATGTACAGGAAGTAGCGGAGATAATGTGGCACTAATTCCATCATCAGATTAAAAAAGAAAGAAAAAAAAAAAAAATCTACTCAAGACAAATATAGAATTCAGATAAATAAATAAAAAGGTACAAAGAATAAGGGGGGGGGTAAAAAAGGAAATGTAAAAGGAGAATGAGAAATCTCATTAGATATTGTGTGTGTGTGTGTGTGTGTGTGTGTGTGGAGAAAGAGACAGAGAAAGAGAGAGAGAGAGAAAGACAGACAGAGAGAAATAGACAGAGAGAGAGAAAGAGACAGAAAGAGAAAGAGACAGAAAGAGAAAGAGACAGAAAGAGAAAGAGACAGAAAGAGAAAGAGACAGAAAGAGAAAGAGACAGAAAGAGACAGAGACAGAAAGAGACAGAGACAGAAAGAGACAGAGACAGAAAGAGACAGAGACAGACAGAACTGGAAACCTGAGCCCAAAGATCAAATGTAGAGAACCCAACACAGACTGCATTATTTTGTTATTGCTTTACACAAACAGGAAATCAATATTTTGGACAACTGAAAATAAATAACAGTAATTGACAAGAAAAAAAAAAAAGAAAAAAAAAGAAGGAGAAAGGACAGAAACAAGAGAGAGAGAGATGCTATGGTGACGATGATGAAAGTCAAAAAACAAAATGAAGAAAATCTATCCTATCAAGCGATAAGAGCTTGAATGCTAATATTGAAAATGAAAGTTAAAAAAATCACAAGCATGTGAATAAGATAAGTCAACCTTAAAACGTTGTGAACAATGGAACAAAAAATATGTATTTGGGGAGATGTGCTAAAAATCGGGTTGAAAGAGTTAAAAGAAAGAAAAAAATTTCTGTAAGCAAGAAACTAGCAGACTTTGCACATTGTGATGAGGCAGCAAGGCCCACAAATAAAGGGGGTGAACAGTGATGAGGCAGCAAGGCCCACAAATAAAGGGGGTGAACAGTGATGAGGCAGCAAGGCCCACAAATAAGGGGGGGGTGAACACAAATAAAGGGATGAACAGTGATGAGGCAAAGGCCCACAAATAAAGGGGTGAACAGTGATGAGGCAGCAAGGCCCACAAATAAAGGGGTGAACAGTGATGAGGCAGCAAGGCCCACAAATAAAGGGGGTGAACAGTGATGAGGCAGCAAGGCCCACAAATAAAGGGGGTGAACAGTGATGAGGCAGCAAGGCCCACAAATAAAGGGGGTGAACAGTGATGAGGCAGCAAGGCCCACAAATAAAGGGGGTGAACAGTGATGAGGCAGCAAGGCCCACAAATAAAGGGGGTGAACAGTGATGAGGCAGCAAGGCCCACAAATAAAGGGGGTGAACAGTGATGAGGCAGCAAGGCCCACAAACAAATGGGGGTGCTCACTGAGGAGGCAGCAAGGCCCACAAACAAATGGGGGTGCTCACTGAGGAGGCAGCAAGGCCCACAAACAAATGGGGGTGCTCACTGAGGAGGCAGCAAGGCCCACAAACAAATGGGGGTGCTCACTGAGGAGGCAGCAAGACCCATGGTCAAAGGATAATCTCAGATTAAACTGCAAGGATTTTATAAAAATTCTAAATTAATATGAAAATGTTAAGAATGTAAAAAAAAAAAAAATTATCATTTTAAATTCCTATAATTAAGAATAAGAAAATAAATATCTAAAGTGGTACATTATTGAAATGATGTACAAAATTTACTTCCTTGTGCAAATAAGACATTTTATTCAGAAAAGTTATAAAAATGTGTTGATTTAAACATAATATTGATAATATATATATTGATAATTAGTGGTCATATATATATATATATATATAAATTTCCAAGAGGATAGAATCCAGATAGAACTTAATGTCCAGCAGGACAGAGTAATAATATAATAAAAAACTCAAACACTAATATTCCATGGTTATAATTTCTTACATTGGAATCTTAATCACGATCCTATATATATATATATATATGAAGAGTGGGGAATAAATAGAAACCAGAACAATTTATATAATAAATAATAAAAAGTAAAAAAAAAAATCAGAACAATAACAAACAAAAATAAGCCAAGAAAACTTTTGGTGTTCTTAATGTTCCTATTTGAAGCGTTTCAATTCATCTCTGATGACACAAGTGGAAGGGAGAAAAAAAGCAAGTTATTGCTTTGTGCAAGAATTATAAAATCAAATTCAGAAAAACAGGTTTGAATAGAAATCAAAGAAAGAAACAAAGGGACATTTTATGGCGAATCCAGTGCTGGAATGTGGACAAGGGAAGTAACTCAAACTGTCTTGTCTCTGAGAGAAACCAAGGATTATCCATCAGGGAAAGCTGTGGAAATCAACTTGACTGGTTGATGGGAGGAGGAAGGATGGATGGAGTGCAGTGGTGGGTCTGCAAGACAGATTACAGCTGACAATGTAGGTGAGCAGGGTGGGGACTGGCCAGGGCTGGTTTAGGTTTACAATGAATGTTAGTTGTAGGAGCCAGTTTATAGCCCCCCCACCACCACCACCACCACCACTCTCTTTCAAACTATATAATCTCCTTTTTCTAGCAGCAAGAGGAGTGGAGGGGCTGGAATAAGAATGATGATGATAATGATAATAAATAATAATAATGGTGGTATGAAAGGCTAACAGATGTATGTGGCTTGACTCCTTCTCCTCCTCCTCCTCTTCTTCTTCTTCCTCCTCCCACCTCCATGTGGGTAGCAAGCTGGCCTTTAAAAAGAACAAGGAGGGACCACCAGCTTCATCAACATTGTATTTATTTACAACTGAAGCAGATTCAGAAAGAGGACCAAAGAGGAAGAGGAAGAAGGGTGTTTAAGAGAGCAAAATAAGATGAGAAAGAGATAAAATGGAGTAAAAAAAATTAAGAGAAATGAGAGAGGAGATGAAAAGAAAGAGTGTAAAATAGAATTTAAAAAAAAATATATATATATATACAAAAGAAAGCAACTGCTTAATTCAGACTAAAAATGTTTTAAAGACCAAATTACAAAAGTTTGACTAATGAATGAAAGCACTGAACAATTTAACAAATATTAAGAAACAATCCCTGTAAGAAATTGTGTTTTGTCTTGCTTTTCAAATGTGTTGAAAATGAGAGAAATGTACAGGATTTCAAGAGGAAGAATATGGTTAAATAAAGGAATCTTCAAGCATTATAAAAATAGTGTACTCATGCCGTCAAAATTGATGGCAAGAAGGAATGTATTATAAGTAATATGTATTATGTTGTAAGTAATTTTTGTTTAATTCAAGTATAATTTTGTAATTTAAATGAGTTTGTTGTTAACGTTAATAATGGAACCCTGTACAATTTCTAAATACCTAAGGAAAGATATTCGTATATTATCCTAATAAATGTTACATATTTACAACCAAAATTATATTTACTGAAAAAGTTCCCAAAGCAAAATATTTTTTGTGTAAATTTTGGTTAGGTCTTATTAATCTTTGACAGTTCCTAGATTCAATCTGTAATTTCAGGGTTTGTTTATTTCTCATCCAAGAATTTTTTTAAATTTTCTTTTTGTGCCCCCGTCTCATTTTCTTTTTTAAATTATAATTTTTAAAGTTTAAAATTAATTTCTAAAGAGAAAATAGTCCTTGAAGATGTATGTAGTGTATTATATATATATATATGAACCCTGTTTGATAGCGATATCATTACGCATTAACAGGACCAAGTTATCATGGCACTGGGTGGGTCATTGTTATTTTGTACATTGCCCTTCAACACAAGAAAGTAAATATACATATAGATAAATATATGGTATATATATATATATATATATATATATATGTATGTATGCATATATTATATATATATATATATATATATATATATATATAAACAATAGGCTGAAAACTAATATTCCATGGTTATAATTTATTACATTGAGAATCCCGTGATACTTAATTTAGACATTATGTTGTATTAATTTTTTTTTTTTTAAATCATTTAAAGAATTGCATTTCAGTTTTGCATAAATAGAAAGATTTTTTTCATTGTAAAATGTTCACCCCATTGTGAATCAGTAATCTTTAAAATAGGCCCTTAAAAAAAAAAAGGGGTGGTAAGGTGTGCTGCAATTTGTCATTTTAAATTTCTTTAGAATTCTCAAAAATGACATATGAGATTTAGTTTTGTTCTTTTTCAGACCAGTTTCCTTATTTCTGTTACTTCTAATAAGCTTTCCTCCTTGGTAACTTGGCTACATGAATTTAAGTGTACTACTAGATTGGCAACTAAGTCTCATCATTTTACTATTGAACTACTTACATGCAACCATCAGTTCTATTCTAACAATTTTTTTTTTGTACATCCTTCTGGTTGCTTGCTTCCCTGACAGCTTCCAAAAATTTAAATCCAACATTAATCTTCATCACCTCAGTCTTTCTGAACCCTGTTATTTTATTGTCCTTTCTCTTCACTATTCATTCTCTTTCAAGCCCAGTAACCACCTAGCCTTCCTCATGGTGAAATAATTATCTAAAAAAAAAAAAAAATCACAAAAATCAGTGGATAAATGCACTGATTGGTAAAAATCATTTTGTTCCCTGGAGGTCAAGATTTTTAATTCCTAGATTCTTTTAATTCCTAAAAAAAAAAAAAAAAAAAACAAAATACAATCATACCACCAAATCAAATAATAATATATATATATATATATATATATATATATATATATATATATATATATATATATATATACACACACCTTACCATTTAAGCATTCTAAAAGAAAAATTAAATAAAATAAAAAAAAATGAACTACACCTACATTTTCCATGCTCAAGAATAAATAAAAGCAGTGACTGTCTGAAAAACCAGATCTCAAATCACTACATTTACCTCAAAATTAAAAGAGGGGGGAAAAAATGGTATAAAGACCAATAAGGAGAGAGAGAGAGTATAAAGTGACAAGACAAAAAGATGAAAAGGAGAAATGATGACAAGATTCTACATGTGCAAGCAGGTATATGCATGCATGCAATAAAAAAAAAATACAAAAAACAACCTTGCACCAATGAAAAATGGAAAGTGAATAAATTATTTCTTTAACTCAATATAAAAGTAAAATGCGAAAAACAGTCAATTGCTGTTATCCGCTGACAAGGCGATCTACCAAACTCTAGAGTGGAAATGCTGAAGGTAACATAAATCAGATAAGTAACATGAGAACACGACCACCCCTCCCCCGGTACCAATGGACAAAAGATTCTGTTTAAAAGGTTACTCAAGCAACAGGTAACTGCGGGTGACCAGAGATTAGAACAGCAGAAACAATATGGTTAAGAAAATCTAAACACAAAAAATCAAGACTGAAAATAAAAAAGTGTGTGTGTGTATATATATATATATATATATATATATATATATATATATATATATAAAGCACCAAGACAACGACCAAATAATATCTTCACTCCTGTCTAGTAATTGCCAAAATATTAATGGCTTAAATATTTCCAGTTTTTGAATTAATATGTAGAAAAAGAATTTAACATATAAAGGGCAAATTTATTGAATCAAACTTAACTTATTAGAAAATTTAATATGCACAAGTAAATGTCTTTTTTTTTTTCTTTTTTTAAAAAAGGTCATCAAGTTCAGACATTGCTTATTAAGATCAGGTGAAGCAAATGAATAAATTAAAAGAGTCTGATCAAACTGTTCCTGACTGCAAGCTTTCAGGTGTGTTATAAACATTTCAGACCAAAGACTCTTACAACATGACCCAGAAAGTTAAGAGGTTAGAACAAAAGCAGAATGTATTTAATTGATCCAATCAGTAAGCATGATGCATCCTATGGAAAAAGGAACACAAGAAAAAGAAAAAAACGTTAATAATTTGCAATTATTTTCAATATCACTTCTCACAATTAAAAAGATTCTTCACCACCACACATACACTTGGCATAAGCAACAAAGTCAGTGTAGATTGTCTTAATATGACAAGAAGTACACAAAAAAGATTGACTGTATTTTCTAAGTACAGTTAGAAATGACAGTTTCATTTACAGAAACCAAAACAATTTGCCAGCTAACCACAGACTGAAACTATTTCATTTCAAAATTTTTACATGATATGAATAATTAGGTTTCTGCTTATTTTTGCTATATTTGGGATATATATATATATATATATATATATATATATATATATATATATATATATATATAAATTAATTTTGGAGTAACTTTAAAAGTTACTCCAAAATTTGCTTGAGGATGAAATGGAACTAATGTCTTTAATTTAATTACAAAATGAAATTCGGGGCTTTTAGCTTCCATTTTTGAAACATGGTTAGAAAAACTAGCGAAAAAAAACATATTTTAAATCAATTAATTTATAATATTAATGCTCTGTAAATTT